AATGATAAGGGCTGGCTTTAAGATTTATTTTTAAATATTTGAATTTAGTTTAGAGGATGGAACAGCCGAGATGGACCAATAGGTCTCACGTTGTCCCAAAACATTGGCTGAAAAACAATTTAAAAACATTGTTACTCAGACTAACACCCAAGCAGGGAAAATTCGAAATAGAATTGTTTTAACTATTAAAAAAGCATACAGATCACCATGCATGACAGAATGAACAAGAATACCTTTTTTTTTTTCCTAAACTTTTATTTTGAAATTTTTACAGACAGAGGCGTTAGTATAAACTAAAACATAAAGATTATTTGGCAGAGCACTTAACACTCACCTAACTTCCAATCAGACCCGTTAAAAATATAAACATTTATAGTAACATGATTAGCTTGACTAGCTTCTAATGCTTCATCAAAGTAATTAAACGTGTATTTCGGCTGTTTACGCAAATAATAAAAACACTAAAATTGTGATAACACATTTCATCAAATAACTGCGAGCTAACACTGCCAGAATAAACTTGGCCAATGTATACGTTTGCCAGATAAAATTAAGATACAATAATACAAAATGATTTAAGGAATATGATGTAAATTCTGAAAACAACAATGCATTGAAATAAAATATATATATTTTCAAATCAGACAATTCCAACAGTTTGTACTCCAGAACATAGATTTCAAACTGAAAAATAAACTTTTACTGTCATTAATCTTCAGTTTTAGGTTCAAATTATTGAAATAAACAGTTTATACAGACTGAATGTCTCAATTTTTAAAATACAACTATGCTTCAAATCTATTCAACAGATTAAAATCTTCCAAATTTCTTTACCTTAACTACAGTATTTTTTTAGCCAAGCATCATTCTCATATACACCAGCTCAAAAAAACAACAAAAAAAAAACTGACAAATTTCAAATTCTGACTATAAAATGCAATAAATAATAAAAAAAAGGTACACCATAACTTTTCCATTGGAGTGATTTGATTATAATGCATAATTATTATAACAAGTTAAACTTGATTACTAAAGTATTTACTGTGGACAATTTACAAGCAAATATTATGAAACTGCACAGTAATTAAAATCATTGAAGACTGACATCTCAGAAAAAAACTATTTGATGTTACAGTTTTCCTGGTAATAAAATCATTGAAAAAGCTGCTTTCTAATGAAGTTTAACTGGCCTTGAAATTTTTTTTTTTTTTAAAGAATGAAATGGCTACCATCATACGAAGCATCAGTACTATTCTACAAGAATATATTTTCTTTAACCAAATAAATTAATTTTGTTGATCAACTTTATTCAACACCCAGAGCCTTAATAAATTATATACAAACCATCTGGTAAACAGGTTTTCTATATGCTCTCTTGTTTATGTTTATAATTAATGATTAGCATAAACAACTGTTTAGTACCACCATAGCAACAACCACTCTCTCAAAGCCCAATTATTAGTAAACATTCAAATATTCATTTACTAAAGTTTTCTACTTTCTTCTCAAACATTACTATGTTACATACAGTTTTGCATTTACCAATGAATTAACAATCATATATAGTAATAGTTTATATATAATAGGAGTCATGCTGCTGCTGACCATACCTATCCTATAAATTGAACAAGATAGACTATAATATACAGATTTTGAATTCATTATGAGCTAAAACACAAATCATTTAAATATTCCACTAACTAATAATTACACAATATTGAGAATAATCATACATCACTTGGAATACAAAATAATAAAAAAAAATACTGAACTGTAGAAACAAGAGATGAATTCAAAATTAAAGAATTAAAACCAAAAAAGTCTAGAATTTAATCTCTACAGCTTCTTAAGTTAATTGATATGAAGCAGAAAGTAGCAACTTAGATCACAAAATGAAACTTATATGTAAAAGTTATAGGAAACATCTGCTCTACTTTCACAAGGTCAACTACCACACACACACAAATTATGAAATGACAACTAATATAAAAACTACCTATTTTATGGTCAATCTGAGATAAATATTCTATAATGTTAGTTCCTGACAATGGCTATATTTATTCTAGTTTCATAACTTCTCTCTCTTCTATAAAGCTCTATACCAATGATGTACCTGAAGTTTATTTAAGCAAAATGTAAGAGGCATTTATTACATGGTTACATGTTTGTATTTCTATAAGCTTGTTTCATGTTAATTCAACTATTGGCAACAAAGGACATAATTTTATCTAAACAGATATACAACTTTATCCATTGTACTCTTTTTTTAAACTTAAATTGCCCACGCTATTTGCTTGATGGCACCAGTTACTATGAGCAATTAATAAATTAGAGATGGTAACATATAAATGTATCATTTAGCAATAATTACATTGAATATTACAGCAACTTTAGTCAAAAAAAAGTTAACGTAAAGTTATTTGTGGATTTTTGACTTTTTTTTTTTCAGAGTAAACACAACAGCTTTAGTATTCAAGATGTAAATTACTTTGAAATTTAACAAAAACTTCAGTGTAAATTTTACAAAAATAACAAAGTATTAGTGAATTGACGCAAAACCGTGACTGCTATAAATATCCATATTTTCAAAGCTTACAAAAAAGAGTAGAGCTAAAGCAACATTCAAGGAAACACATCTAAAGTATAAAACAAATTCAAAAATTTCTCACAGCTGTAATACTACCACATGTTGAGTACTGGTATATTAAAAATAGTTTTTAACTTATATCACAAGTAACGTTATGCATTATTATACCTCAGATATGCCTCGTTATTTATACTGAAGCAAAATAAGAAGTTTCTATGGTGTTCCAATGCTCTGGAAAGTAGTAAAACTACAAGTTATAATAACATATTTTTAAAAATAACTTTTAAATTGTGTAATTTGACTGTCCTAGTACTTATATACAACTTTATAGGGAAGCTTCAATCCATACAATAATTGTCTTAGAGTAAAAGTCAGCTAAAAAGGAAGCCATTAGTTCTACTGTATTACATGAAACAAGCCAGTTTAATATTACTAATATAGATAGTTGATGTAGAAACGTTACTTTCTTTACCTCTGCAGATCTAGTAATGACCTAATGCTTTGGAGTTGGTGATAATACCAATTCTCAAGTTAAAATAATAATTATCAAAAATTATGTCTTACTGAGTAAACATAAAGTTACTTACAGTTGGATGAATCAGAATTTTTTTTATGAAATCAAAGACAGAGAAAAATACAAATTAAAAAGCAAAACAGGTCAATGAAATTTTTTTTTTTACATTATAGTAGTTAACAGCCTAGACTAAATGTAATATTTATATATTTTTTATTAGAATATACAAATTTTTCAGTGGAAGCACATTCATGTTTTAAACAATTCTTTACTGTTGTCTATTTTGAATTTCTTAAATAATAAATAAATTTGCTGAATTGTACCAGCTCACAATAAGTCCAGTCCTTTGAAGTTTTCAAAATATTGTTAATATAACAAGTTCACTATAATAACAATCATCACTCCTTTTTTTTTTTAATGCAACACAACTGTAATGCAATATGTTGCCATTTTAATAACTACAAATTTGCCAACTGGAATATTTACATGTAATGTTTCTTATTCTAAGCATGAGGTAAAACAAATTAATTACTTTTACATTTTCTATGTAGTCACTCTGGCCAATAACTTTATTTTATTTTAATAACTCTGACCACTTTTCTTCTCTGTATTAATTTTCTGATTGTTAAGTTACATTTTACCACTTTTTCACAAAACAATTGTTTGTACATTCTTTACAAGAAACTAAAAATTTAGAAAAAAAAACAATGAAAATTTCAAAAACTTAAGAAAAAATTAAACAAAACTGAAATTTTATATAAGAAATGTAAAAAATATGGCTTCATAACTCTACAGTACTTTCAGCTCTGTCTTCTCAAATAAGAGCAAAGAAATGTTTCTAACACTTATTACAGGTATACAGTATTAGTATTTTTATTTCCTACTCGATGTCTTTCTATTCACTTTCAGACCTTACATGTGTCCAGTACAATAAGCAAAACATGAAAGTGGTACTACACTGCACAACAGACTTTTTATACTGCGTATCTCATTTACAGTGTTAGGTTACCTCAATTTCTTTTATGTGTCTAGATATAATATGTATAAGTATTATGGAAATGTCCTGTGTGATAACTTGGTTAAAGATAAGTTGTAGCTGGTAATGTAGAGAGAAGTTCAAAATAGTGTTACAGATATTCTCAAAAAATATCTCCTATGATAAGAACTACATTTAAAAGAGGTGTATTTTAATGTTATCACTTCTTCAAGTCTAACATCTTCAGTCAAGAATCTAATAAGTTGTAGTGTATGTTGAAATCTGAACAGTGGGTATTTAGCTATTTGAAAGTCAGCTGTTTTATTTGAACGAAAAAGATAACAGACATTCATAATGTGATTATTTACAAGGGATTGAATAGGATCCCATGAGACTACCTGCTATAATTTGTAATTTCTTTGAATTTTCATTGTAATAAAAATAACACAACTTAGCAGATCTGTATTTATTTTTTATCATTTTTATCTACATTACTAATGATGTATTTTAAACAGCATAGGCCTTACCACAGGGACTGCATACAGCATTCACCACCAACGAATATGTAATACTACGTAGTTGTACTTAATGATGTTGTGTAGTATGATTTTATGAAACCAAGTGTACATGGAGCTGATACCAGTTGAAATTAGTAATACAAAACATTAGCATAAGAAAGATCAATAACAAACACTATTTCAAAGAACAGATACAGATAAACAGAAAAACATTAAAGATTACAAAATGTTTCAACCTTTCAGTACACAACGAAAAATAGCAGTTTTTGCTACTGCTTTTTTGTTTTTTAAATACTTATAAAAGATTGATACTTGGACCAATAAATTAGCCATCAAACTTCTCATGTAGATTGTTTTTGGACAGTTCCATTGATGACATTCTTCATGTTTAGTTAAGTTTTGACGTTTCCCTTAAAGTTATTAGATGAAGAAGGAAAGTATACTGGTACTTGCTCTAATGCACAAGTTACAAAGTTCACTTCTCATGTCTCTTAAGGTATAATAATTACAGTCTTAAAAAAATTAGCATATCTCACTCTAGATTATACAGGTTGACTCAGGACTTGTAAATACGAATCACATCTCGAATGGGTGCCCGACAGATTGGACACTGGCCATCTCCTTGTCCTCTCCACTGTTGCACAGCACACTCAAAACACATGCACATGTGTCCACATGTGTACAGTACACTATCAATTTGTCTCTCATAACAAATAGCACACTCATTTCCTGAGTTGTCACTAGGATCTGAAAAACATAAAAATAGCACATTACCAAAGATGTTGATTTTTAACTGGTGAACAAAAAGAGAACAGCACGTCATCAAAGATGTTAATTTTCAACTAGTGAACAAAAAGAGAACAGCACATCACCAAAGGTGTTAGTTTTTAACTGGTGAACAAAATGGGAACAGCACATCAAAGATATTAATTTGCGACTGGTGAACAAAAAGGGAACAGCACATCAAAGATATTAATTTGCAACTGGTGAACAAAAAGAGAACAGCACATCACCAAAGGTGTTAGTTTTTAACTGATGATCAGAAAGAGAACAGCACATCAAAGATCTTAATTTGCAACTGGTGATCAAAAAGGGAACAGCACATCAAAGATATTAATTTGCAACTGGTGAACAAGAAGGGAACAGCACATCACCCAAGGTGTTAGTTTTTAATTGGTGAACAAAATGGGAACAGCACATCACCTAAGGTGTTAGTTTTTAACTGCTGAATAAAAAGTGAACAGCACGTCACCAACGATGTTAGTTTTTAACTGGTAAACAAAAAGAGGGCAGCACATCACCAAAGGCCTTAATTTGTAACTGCCATTCAACATGGTATCATGCACTTTATGTTAATTGTCTACTATTCATTTTGCTATACATTGTTGATTTAGGAACAGATTGTGTTAGAAGAAAGTAAATACCAGAGTATGAGTCAAATTGATGTTGTCAAACAGTTTGTGTTAGAAGAAAATAAATACCAGAGTCTGAATCAAACTGATGTTGTCAAACAGTTTGTTCTAGAAGAGAGTAAATACCAGAGTCTGAATTAAACTGATGTTGTCAAACAGTTTGTGCTAGAAGAAAGTAAATACCAAGTCTGAATCAAACTAATGTTATCAGTTACCAGATGTATCTGGAGTACAAATACTTTTGTAACACACATGATTTTTTTCGTACATTTTACTAAAAGCTTGCCACATTTTGTGTAGATAGCAGTAAACTCATAATTATAGTTGATAGTCTTTCTCCAATAAGGGGTTGGTCCATTGAATCGACCATGTGAGCACTCGGTTAACAATTTCTTTGTAAAAAGTCTCAACCAATATGATAAAATAATACATGTATGTACTTCTAAACAAAATATTTAAGAATAAATTGCTGTGATTTATGCTTCAAGGTAGTGAAGTTGGTAAAGGTAATAAAAAAATCCCCCAGAAACATTTAATCTGTACAATACCCTACACATTTTTAAATCAAACTATATCTAGGAATGCTTCAACTTCTTTAATATCTTCTTTTTAACAACAAAATGGTATTTTCAAATAAAACAAATTAACATGGCGAAACATAGCCAAAAAACATTTTTGTTAACTACACATAGTAATTGACAAAAGAATGAAAAAAAAATTGTTATACGGATATTCATCCTCGGAATTAAAAGAGGAAAAAAGAAGAGAGTTTTCTGGTAATTAGTTGTTTGAAGTTATTTAGATCAGTGGTTCCCAGACTTTTGGCAATCACGGACTGGTAAAATTCCAAAAACATTTTCGGGGACCAACATTCCAAATAAAGTATTTGGTAATTACATAAGTAAAATAATACAATATTTACAAAAAACAATTTATTTTGAAAACAAAATAAACTTTTTACTTTACTTAGGCAACTTTTAGTCATCAAATACTGAAAAAATAAATAAGTGTCAGTGCTTTCAACAAACAAGACACATTGCAAACCGGTAGAAATTAATTCAAGGACCAATACCGGTCCGCAGACCGGCATTTGGGAAACACTAATCTAGATGGTACGTGTAAGAATAAGACTTAGTTTTTGTTACAAAATGTACTTTCAATTATTCTGACTGCATGGGAAGTGTTTGGCTCAAAAACCTCAATGAATAAATTCTTTCAATGTCATAAAAAAGCTTATTACATTTGTTAACTGTCTTTTAATCTATTTCACTAAAAGAACTTGGTAAAACTGAGTTTAACTTACAAGAATTAATGAAATATTTCTAATTATCTGCAATAAACCTATTATGTTGTTTATGAAGAAGAAAAACCGATCTTTAATGATACTATTGATTATAATTATTCAGTATGATACAAAATCAACATACGTGGAATAATCTCACCACCACTTGTACTAGATCCTTCGGGCGTTGGAAGTCGTACAGTGAGGCTACCAGTTGGTGATTTATCAATCTCATTAAGGCCACCAGACATACCACTGTCCACTGAAGTGCTTAAAGGTATGTTTCCTAATGACCTACGGGTTAGTGAGCCTTGACCAGCTGGACTTTCTGTTGTTGTACCTGGAAAACAGGCATTTAAATAACAATAGGGAATTCTCAACGGTCTCGGCACTTGAAATTCTTTTAGGCAGAATTAAATTAATTTACTAGACCTTTTTTTTCACTTTAATTAGCTATATTTTATAGCTATATTATTAGCTAATTCGATTTTATTACTCATCAAGATCTCTACCAGTCTACCCTCAAATTGAAATTCTTTTAGGCAGGATTAGAGTAAATTAATCTACGAGACATTGGGCATGGTCAAATATATCATTCAAAAGGGTTTAACCTCTTTTGCCCAAAACTATAATTAGATCTCAAATTGGTCAAGAGATGACTAAGCTATGAGACAAAAGTTTGTACTTGAATAAAACTGAGAGCCATTCTATGAGCCACTATGATGCAGCTAAAAATGTTTAATTTAAACATTATTTCTATAGAAACTAGGCCTAAAATTTTGAAAATAAAACAAAATTTTTCCTTTAATTTTGTTTTTATGGTAAAAATTAAAATGAAAAATTTCTAAACAATGCCTCACTTTTAACAAAAAACAAACAAAGAAAGCTACTTATTTCTAGGCTTGCGAGCTAGAAACGTTTTTGCTAATATGTAAATTTATCATTTCAAAAAATTGTGTGAAGTACAGAAATATAATCTAAAGATATTTTAGCAAAGTTTCTAATTCTGCACTATTATCATCACTAGCAAATCTACTCGCAATATCTTATAATGCTTATTCTCTGCATCTAATAAAATAAATGTTTTAAAACTTTTTCAAAGGTATACAATATCTAAACCTTAGGTGAATGCAAACTTTAGATGACAGTTTCAAAAATAATTATTGAAGTATATATACACCTGGAAAAAAGTTAAGCACCCCCGTGTTTTTTTCAAGTGATTCAGATTCGACGTTCTTGTGACTGATTATAAATTACCATTCAATCTAAACGTGTTTATCAAATGAAATTTTGCATTATTGGGCACAAGAAAACAAGATTATCACCGTAAAATAACAATTTTTAATTTACATATCATGACATCAAAATATGGACAGTTTTCACGCTTAAAATTATCTTTAATAAGTATTGTCAGTGAAAGCTCAAAAACGTTATTGAATTGTCAAATCACATTTCAAAAAGTCAAACATGACCCATACCCTGATAATTAGTCATCGAAAAGTCAATATCG